ACATACTTCGCTAAATCACTTAATTTAGGCGGTGTTCTACTCCTTTTTGGGGTGGTCCTCCCCTCGCAGTAGCAGAGGAAAGACATGTGGAGGCAAGTGGCAAAGGGATTGCACTGCGGAAAGGAGCTCCCTGCAAAAGGAGGCAGAGCTAAGCTGCCACAAGCTCAGCTGGGCACCTGCCTTCGGGTTTAGGGGCAGCACGGGAAGTCCCTATGGATTTGTTTTGGCTCCTTTGCAGGAAGCCTTCACTGATACACAGCCAGTTTGTCAGCCTGAGCAGAGGATTGCTGCTACTCCAGCACCGATGCAGAATTCAGCTTTCTTTGATGGAATTGAAATTATTCCCTTCTGTTCATCCTTTTAATTTAATTTTTAATTATTTCAGCTTTCAGTGATGATTTAGTTCTTATGCTGACAAGTGCTAGAGGAGGTAATGTATTGCATGTATTTTAAAGAGCTGAGAACTGAAGCATCAGGCCACATCTAGGGAAAGTGACTCTTCCACATTGTAGGTTCATCTCCCTTGGCACGCAGCGTCCTCCACTGCTGGCTGGGAAAAAACATGAATCTACTACCAACAGCATGCTAGAAAATACAGCTATTAGAAGCTGGAATAAGTGTGAAGTTGGAATAAGTGTGAAGTAAATTATCTTTCTTCACACCCATACCAGTTCCTTCTACTCGCATATAAACACTTTCTTACGTGAGATTCTGTATCAACATCAAGCTTCCCTTGCAAGTATGACTTGACTGATTTTTTCCCCTACTGGGCCGGGCACAGCATCAAATTGTTGCCGCTTCAGCGTTGTATGGAGAAAAGAGGTCAACGCTGAAAAGCCCCTTTGCCAGAACAGCTGGACTAGCAGGCAGCTGCAAAATCAGTAATGAACAGCAGTCCAAAAAACTTCCAAGCGATTAAATAGGCCGATACCAGAACGAAGTCCAGCTGTAGTTACAAATATCAGGAAGAAACAGTAGCTGGAAATAAGTGTATCCTTCCAAATGTGTTTGTCTTGGATTTCTAGCAGCCCATTCTTGCGCTTCCAACTGTTTGTGGTGTCAGGAATGTATTACCCTCCTGTCATTTCTCTGGGAGCTGGCTCTTTTCCACGGGAGATTAGAATGAGGAATCATTTTGATTTTTCTGTCTGGAAAGAGATATGCAATAGAAGTGTTATATAGCTCCTCTTTGTTTTTTCAGAGTGAAAGAATTGAAAAAGGCCAAGGAACTTGAAGATACGCAGCAGCATCCCGTAGCAATGTGACATTGCTTTTCAGACTGTTTTCATTTTCTGTTTTTAGCAGAGACATGCAACAACAACAACAAAAATACCCACTGCAGTTCTGGAAATACCAGCTGCAGGATTTTAACAGTAATGTTTTGGTCATTGCATTTGCACTTTCATGGACAACTTTTAATTTGTTCAGCAAGACATCTTGGAACTCAATCTTCTGTTGGATCATGGGGAAAACAAAAGACACCAGGAGGAAATTGTGAGTTGCTTCATTCTCCGAGAAGGAAGAAGCGATTAATTATCCTTTTCATATAGGGCTGTATTAAACAACATGTGGAACTGTACAAATATTATACCAAAAATATTGTTAAGAAAAGGTGGGAATGCACAAGCAACGCAAGAATGCTGTTCCTGCGCCTATCGGTCATCTCCAAGAAACTGAAGCTTTGAGAGTCTCAGTGGAGGGGCTTAGATCAGTACATCTTTATTGGGTCCATGCATCCTCATTTCCTTCGCACCTCTGTCCTTTGTGTTTGATTTAAATCTCTACAGCACACTTAATGCAACTTTTTAAATCTGCAGGTTTTTAATACATCCCGTGGGAACTTACAGAAGGGGTTGGTGTATGAGATAAACGGGTAATGCATGAGGAATGGAGAGAGCAGCTTAAGCAAGTTTTAAAAAGTTTTTTTGGTATTTTTACTAGAACCTGCAAACATATCAATTGTCATGTACTTTCTCTCATATTCAGCACTTTATTTTCTAGCCTTACTTTCATGTACTATTATTTCAATTAAGTTCTTAAAATAATCTGTAAAACGTGTAGCTTTTTATCTTAAGTACTTGTCAATCCTCTTGTCATTTTGCAGTCTCACATACATATGTTGCCTGGACATTTTATACCACCTAAAGATCAGAGTGGTGCTGCATTCTGGCCAGTAAATTTCTTATTTTGGCTACTTCATCAAAATCTGGGCAGTTTCTGTATATATAGAAGGTAGAACTGGAAAATGAGAAAAAAATATTTGAAAGGGAATATATTGATTAATTACTAAATATTTTATTCACAAAGGGTCAATAACTTGGCAAGATAAAATTATTATTTGTATAGTTTTGTCTGAATGAACCAGAAGAGTGTGGATGTATTGTTTGTACATATTGTATATATTAAAACAAAGAGATATGTGCATGAACTCAAGAAAAAGAAATGAACAAAGCAAAGCATTAGTGGCTATGGTCTGTAAAATGAAACAAAAACTTTATTTCACTATAAGAAACTTTATTTTAAATGTTCTTTAGAAGAACATTTTTGCTAAAGCATGACTAAATGGCAAAAAAGAGCTACTGTATTTAGACTTAGGAAAAAAAGGCAGAGCAACATTACTTTAAAAAAAAAAAAAAAGAAAAAAAAGGATATGTTTACATTTGATTTTGGCTACCAGGAGTTTGGTTTGGTTGGATTTAATTTATTTATTCCTTCCTTCCTTATTTTTTCCCCCGTCTTTTTTTTTTTTTTTTTGCCAATGGTGCCAAGTAATGTGAATGCTAATATTGCTTAAGAAAATTAAGTTACTTTTGCAAAGCAGATAATCATAAGAGTACAAAAACCGTATCTAGCTTAACACCATACACTCACTCCAATAAAGAACACTTAGAATGAACATAAAATGAAAAAAAAAAAAAAGAAATAGTATGAAAGTAGAAAAATATGTTTCACATTTTCATATCTCCTGCTGGAAGTCAGAAAATGTAATAAAAATTGCACAAAAAATTTTAAAAAATTAAGTAAAACTTAAAAAAAGATGCAAACTGATCTTGTAGGGGTGTCATGGTATATTGCTATTTCCACATAGTGAGGAGCCAAAGAAATTAGATTTTTTTAAATTGAACTACTAATTTAAAACTGTCACAAATTCTCGACAACGGGAACCAGGTTCTGATCTTTATTACACAGGAATGTAAGGGAGGAAACTCCTGAAGTCTGTGTCGTTACCGTGAGTTATGTACATGCGTCTGAGATCAGAAACTGCTCCTGTGTGTTTGTTTTGCTTGTGGCAGTTTAAAATTTCTGAATGGACTGGTGTAAATTTGAGATTGTTAGTTTTGGAATAGTTGTTCTTGCTTGATCCCGGCCACCAACTGCAATGTTTAAACACAAGGCTTGTTGTGAAGCCTAAAAATATTCACATGTAAGAAGCTTTTAAACTGGTGTCTTTAAAAGAAGAGTAAAAACAAAGATTGTGGCAAAAAAACTGGGGTCAGTGCTCTTGGTGCCTTTTCTATAATTGTACCTGTTTTTAATTACTTCTTTTCACTGCCAGCATTGAATTAACAGTAGATGTGCTATAGCTCATTATCAGAATTCTCTTGTACATTTCTGAACTGCTGCTTTATGACCTGATTCAATCTAAAAAAAAAAGGGAAAAAAGAAAAACAAATGGCGTGGCGCTCACACTGTGCCTGTGGGCAGCCTCATAGCCTCAATTTACTGTATGGAATTGGGACCTTAACCATTAAATTTTTCTCTCACACAAAAACAGAACAGGAGACGCCGAAGAGACTCCTTTGGAATGAATTGGAAATGCTCTGTATTAATACTGGAAGAACTCTGACATTTTGAAACCGAAATGTTGCTCCCATTAACTGATATGTGACAATATAGAATTGACCTTTTCCTAACAAGAGTAGTGACCTCAGTGGAAATGTTTAACTCCCTGTCTTTCCAGAAAATGATTCAGTAATATACAGAGCTATTTCAAATTACTCTTCCAGATCCATGGGCCTGGTGGTGTATCTACTAATCTAGATCCTGCTTCAGCCAAACGTTTAAGCATGTACTTGCTGTTAAACATGCAAGCAATTCCACGGGCGCAACAGAACTACTTGCATGCTTTAAGCCGAGTACAGCTTCTAAGTGCTTTGTTGTGTCGGGCTGTAACCCTTCAGTGTACCACTGGGGAGTTAGAAAGACTCCCCCCGCAGTGAAGTGATTCTGCTCACCCTTTTCTTGGTTGTGGAACTTACATTTTCACAGAAGATGAGTAAGTGCAGCTTTCCGGGAAAATTCGAATTCCCAAGTGCCAGGAGCCAGACCTTCTGTCTTCTGATAATGGAATTGCTCCTTTGTGAAACACATTTGACAGCAGTAATACTGTGTGAAAGAAATACAGAATATAACATGAACCCCCTCTCTGGTTGCACGCTTATGGCAGTTCCACACAATAGTTGGTGCCCAATGGGGGGTCCCCAAGACTTGCATGTAAAACTAGTATAGATGTCTTCTCTTTTGTAAGTTTTATTTTTGTAACCGTGCATGTAAAGCATCACTGAATCAATGGATCTGTTGAAGAACTCAGCTGCTGGAACCATGCAAAATGTTTTGAATTGCCCTTAAAATATGGAAAATGTTTTCTGAATGCTTTATATTCTTTCTGCTGTAAATTAAAAACAAAGAAAATTTCCCCATACAAAGTGTGCACCTTTTTTTAAACACGTCTCTTCCATCCTAGTTTAAAAGAATGATGTAGTCCTTTATTCACTGTAAGTAACCATGAAAAAAAAGTGGGTTTTTACATGACCTGCTTGTAAGTAGCATCTGGTTTCTTACAGGTTATAATCTGAACAGTCCACAGTCTACCCACTAGCAGGTGTGCGGCCCCTGGAGCATGGTGGGATTCACTAAAGGCAACAACACAGTCCCTGGATCTGCAGCCCTTTCTGCTGCTGTTTTCCAGTGTGTAACCTTCATCTGGTGTGTAAAGCGGCATGCTTGAGAGAAGCTATTTCTCGGGCAGCAAACTCGTCCAGGTGTCCTGCTGCAGTGTGCCGCTGCCCCATGGTGCTCTGCAGCTCCCCTGTGCAGCACTGCCAGCCCGGTCCTTCTCCAGTTCGGAGGCCAGCCCAGAGCTCCACAATGCTGATCTGCACTACCGGCTCAGACCTGAGGCCCTGCCGGCGGCTCCCATGCTGGCAGCTGCTAGACAAAACCTGTACACACCAGCCACCCTCTCTGTTTCTTCCCTGCAGGCCCTCGCCCCAAGCAGAAACTTTTCCTTTTTGAGTGTTGTCCACGTGCTTACAGCAGAAAGGAAAACTTTTAAAAACACAGATGCTGGGTACCCATCTACCCATAATATCCAAGCTTCAAATTACAGGTTTTGCCAAGATGACTGCAACTACACAAAAGCATTAGAAATCCAGTTGTCCTTAAAATACAAATTCTGCCCAGCTGCCGCTAGCAGCCTGGTTTGGTGGAAGTGAGTTTTGAAGGCAATATGCTGTAGTTTATCAAATTTGGAAACATTCTGTGAAATTATGTAAGGTGACATTTCTTTAAAAATTTCTTCACTGAAAGAGTGGTTAAACATTGGAACAGGCTGCCCAGGGAAGTGGTTGAGTCACCATCCCTGGAAGTATTTAAAAGACGTGTAGATGAGTTGCTTAGGAACATGGTTTAGTGGGCATGGTGGTGTTGGGTTGACGGCTGGACTTGATGATCTTAGAGGTCTCTTCCAATCTTAATGATTCTATGATTATGACATAATACTACATATTTGTAAATATTTCACCAGCCCTTACTTAGATGGCCTCAATTCTGATGAGGTTTTCTAGCACGACTTAAAGCACTTCTATATAATCGTATATACATGGCAGACACGTACTCATCTATGGACGACTAGCTTCTCCAAGATCAAATTATTTTCAGTGCCTCTTCAGTAGACAATCACTTTCAGGGCAGGGCATCTGGGCTTTTCATGAGAAACCATGCACACCTAGTAGGAGACTGCTAAATCCTACATTGTGCATAAAGCAGAGGCGAATCTTAGAAGAATTCAAGAGGCCTGCAGATGCAAAAATGTAAGAGGTCACACTTAATAACGCAGTAATACTAATAACTGAGACTTAACAGCGAACTATTGTACTGAACAGATACATGTTACATGAACCAACCCTCAATAATGCAAATTTTGTACCTGACTGCAAGGCTAGCCTAAGTAGGGAAAAACAGCTGTAATAGATTAATCATCTGGTCTGTGAGTGACTATGTTAGTAGTGTTATGAGTAAGTTCTTCCAAAACCCAGGACCACAACAGAAGATGAGATTTCATTAATAGAGTTTCTAGTGGACTACAGAGAAACAAGTTTAATTATGTTTCTCTTTAAGAATAAATCAGCATTTGACTCCACAGTTTGCTCACAGATACTTCCCTAATTTTCCATTTTATGTGCCTGTTAATTCCTGGGTTCCTTTAGCATCATGGTGGGTTGACCCTGGCCAGAAAGTAAGCATCAACCAGCTGGTTGCTCACTCCCCCACCTCCCCCTTCTCCCCAGCAGCACGGGGGACGAGAACTGGAAGAGCAAACGTGAGAAAAAAAATGCCTGGGGTGAAATAAAGACAGTTCAGTAAGTGAAGGGAAAAACAGAAAAGAACAAAAATAAGAACAAGTGATGCAAAGACAGTCACTCACTACCTCGCACCAGCCACCCAATACCTTGGAAAGACCACCACCATCCCACCCAGCTTTACTGCTGAGGATGCTGTCATCTGGTGCGGAATAGCCCTTCAGTCTGTTTGGCACAGCTGTCCCATCTGTGTCCCCTTCCAGCCTCTCACCCTCCCCCAGCCTACTCGCTGTGGGGGCAGCATGTGAAACGGAGAAGGCCTTGATGCTGTGCAAGCACTGTTCAGCAACAGCCAAAACATCAGCATGTTATCAACACTGTTTTGGTCACACATCAAAAAGACGGTGCTGTACAGCCTGCGATGAAGAACATCAACTTCATCCCAGCCAGGCCCAGTATAGGCATAAGCCTGCTAGGTCTCTGAGAAATGAGCCCAGGTGTACTTCTGGGCTTAGGTCATGTCAAGAGCCCTTCACAACCAGTGAGAGGGATAGGAACAAACCTACCTACCTTGGCAGGCCTTCACCCTTCAGCATCTTGCACTTGCCCTCAGGTGATGCAAGGCACATGCTGACACGATTATAAAAATAAAAAAAAGCATGCACACTTTTCCCACTGTATAACCACAATGAGATCTCAAAATCACCACATAGACCCAGCAGTTCAGGCCAAGTGTTTGCTAGTAAGGCAGTGTAATTGCACCACTTCTGAGGGTGCTACCACAGAGAACTGGGGTCACACACACAGGCAGCAGCCCTGAAATGTACACCAAGATGCATTAACTCACACAAGATGGCCAGAGGAGCAGGCCACATCCTGCCCAGAAGCTGGCTGAGAGCAAGTAGGGGGTGGGGGGTGTGTGTGTGTGTGTGTGTGCGTGCGCGTGCACGCGTGTGTGTGCACCCATGCACTACACATATGCACCGGTATCAACTATGTTGGCCTGTCCCACACACACAGGCAGGTGTAAGGGACACTGCAGAATAGCAGCACGGCAGGCCTCGCCAGAGCCCGGCACCACCCCCCGCCCCAGACACCCTCCCACCAGAAGAGCCGACACAGCACCAGCACCGAATCACTGCAGCGCAGGGGAGCCGGGGGAGCCGGGGGAGGGGGAGTCCTCTCCTCAAGTCTTCCCCGTCCCGCCCGCGCCTCAAGCCCGGCCCACCGGGTCCTGCCACGGTCGGGTCCAAGCCCACGTTCCCGCCCGCATCCTTCACGGGGCGGCCTGACCCCAGCTGCCTCATGTATTGCCACTTGTTAACACCTGCCTGCCCGGGGCCGGCTCCCCTCAGGGCACTGTGGGACTGAAACGGGAGTGGGGGGCGAGGGGTGCGGGAGACA